CTACGAACAAAAATTACTTTCAACGCAACAAACTAAAGGTGGTATTTCTCAGTCCCTTAAAAACTATTTTGTTCTCAGATCAGTGAACGCAGCATCCTGCTGTGTGTCCATGAGTCACTCTGACAGCAACCACCTTCAGTGTGGAAGCTGTAGCTGAATGCAAAAGATTCAGTTAGCTACTTATGAGTCTACAGGGAATTACACTGACTGCTGTTAGGGATGCTAACCATGCTAATAATGTTATCCTAAGATGCTTAAGGTGGTTTAAAATATAAAGGTTTAGAGATGCAAGAGACCAGATAAAAAGCAGAGCTTAGACTAATCTCTCACAAACAGCCTGAAAACACTACAGATTACTGATCACAACAATAGAACGACAGTCTAATGCTATGTTCAGACCGCTAGCAGCAGGAGCAGCAAAAACGCATGTGCTGCTTCATTTTTGATGATGTACATGTTTAGTTCAGACGCGCGGCTGAAGCATCTTTGTTGTTCTGGCTGCACGATGGAAAAGTGGGGCTGATGCCCTATCCTATCCTTTCTTTGCCTGTACCAATGGCAGCTATATTTGCTGTGAGATAAAAAGTAAAAAGTAGTTTTAATGTTTTTAAGTGAGAAAGTCGACCTGAAAGCTCAGTTCATCCAGATTACCATCCTGCCTTCAATTATTATGTCTGTCAGAGCTGCTCAGACCCCGTAGACCAGCGGTGCTCTGTCACTGGGAATCCCGTTCAACAGCAGCCTCTGACGCGGTCGCCACTTTGTGGTTTTTCCACTACTGTTCGCGGCGGCTGGAAGTAGTTGTTATAGTTTTTCACGTACGTAATCCAAACTGCAGGCAACAGAATAATAAAATCAAACATATCTTGCCGGCAGATTTCAGCATTTTAAGTTAATTTAGGCATTAATAAACCGTTTCAGATCAGTGATCATAGCGCTCTGCATCAGCAGGGTGTGTCTGTCTCTCTGCCAACTCCCAGATCAGCTTCTCTGATTGGTTTATGGGGCGCATAGAGCAGCATAAGTTCAATTTTTCCAACTCCAGTTGCTGCTGCTTTCGCAGCGCGTCCGATTCTCAGAAGATCGCGCTGCTCCTGCTGCTCAAAACGCGCTGCAGGACTTTTTGCGGCGCCAAGATGCGCATCAACCATCGCCTTTGCATGTAAACTAGCTGCTTCTGCTGCTTTAGGTGTGAACGTAGCATAAGACAGAGAAACAAATCTGTGTTTTCCTCCTATTGAATTTAAAACTCCTGTTACAGATTTTAAACTTATCTTATTAAATAAGACGAGCTTGTATATTTTTCTTTTAGTTTGTGTCGATAACCTGGAGGGTTTTACTCTATTTCTACATTTTTTGCACTGTGAATAAAGACAGTTGTGAAAATGTTTTGTGTTAAAGTGGAGATCCAAAAAGAAGATAAATATTTCCTTTAAAAACAGCAAAATAAAGAAAAAATAGCAGATAAGACAAACGGGCAAAATAAATAAGAAAGGAAAGGGTTAATGGGTTTTTACCTGTCCGCTCGGAGCTGGCAGGTGATGCTCAGCACGTCCACCACCCCCTCCACCTGCAGCTGCCGGCAGCCTATCGTCGTGGCGATGAAGCATCCCGTCCGGCCAATCCCAGCACTGCGAGCGCAAGAACAAGGCTGTGAAGCATTTTAACACATTCGACTGTTTGGGGGAAACAAACGGTGCTTCAGTACCTGCAGTGGACTATAACTGGTCCCACGGAGTCGGCGGCACGTCTGTCGGCCTCCACGTCGCCCATGAGCTGCAGCAGCGGCAGCGCCGAGTCCGGGGTTTTGTGGTCGGGCCACGACGTGTACCAGTAATGCTGCAGAACGCGGGTTTGATTCCCACACTGCTCAGACACACAGAGAGGTCAGCTAGAAACCTGAAGCCGTTTTTAAATCAGCAGGCTGCAGGAGGACGGAGAGCGAACCTTCAGAGACAGGCTGCGGGTCGTGTAGTGTTCACACTCTCTGACGCCGTTCACCAGCACCTCCACCTTCCCGTAGATGCCCCGCTTCTCCGGCCAGTACAGGACACACTTCTGCAGACACACGGCGCTCTCAGTAACACAGATCTGCAGAAGCTTGACAGATTTTAATGTTGACATATCTCTATATTTATTAAACATTGATGTTTTCATGGTTGTTAATGGAAACATCTTCATTTGACACAGGCATCCCCAAAGTCGGTCCTCGAGGGCTGCTGTCCTGCAGGTTTTAGAGGTTTCCCTGCTCTAGCTGATTTACACTGCTAGCTGATTAACTGCAATCATCAGAATCAACTGTGCTAAAGCAGAGAAACCTCTAATATCTCCAGGACAGCGGCACTCGACAACCGATTGTGGGGATGTCTGTTTTAACATGATGAACATCTCTTTTAGAGTTAATCTCGTATCCTTCCTATTCTGCCACTTATTTCTAATCCAGGTTTGGTCACTTTCAGAGGATTTTACACTCAGCAACGTTTTTGTTTTTAAGGAATCAGAGCAGCCCCAAAGCCAAACTGGCTCCGTTCCTTTATGTCTCTGGGTCCAGTGTTCCGTCAGATCAGCATACCTCGTCAGACCAGCATACCCATAATCTATACGCATGCGCAAGACGTCAGATTTGCCTTTATCCATTTAGTTTCGTATGAAAAAATATAAAAATATAATATAATCCCTTTAGTCATGTACAAAAAAATAACTATTTAAGGTCTGATCGCCTTCAGAAAACAACAAAAAGTAAATAAACAGTTTTTTTGTACATGACAAAAGGGATAAACGCTCGTTGAGGTAGTTTAAAGTTTATTTTTTGTACAAAACTAAAGAGATAAACTAAAGAGATCAATGGGTATTGACTATGGGTATGCTGGTCTGACAGGGTATGCTCATCTGACAGAACACCGGCACCCATAAACTGCTTCAGCTCCCATCAGGAGCTACAGTCGGCCTGTGGAGACCAAGAACCCGAACACCTCCTCCGGTTACCTCGTTCTTCTCCTTCAGTTTGGTGATCATGACGATGACGGGCGACTCCTCCTGCCACGCCATCTGCCAGAAGTCATTCACCGTGTTCACCATGGGACCCTGAGTGGCGATGAAGGCCCTGCTGTCGCCTAGGTAACCCTGAGGAGAGCCACAGCTGTGTTACTCTTTTTTTTTCTGAACATTTATTCAGGTGAATATAAAAAGCACAGTGTGGTGACGTTCCCTCCCTCAGGACCGTTTTAAACTACTCGGAAAAATCTCAATCATGCTCAGACATATTAAGTACAGTAGGACAAAGAGTTCCCGTCTGCTTCTGCAGAGCTTCCTGACAGGAAGGCGGTCCATTGTGTGAGAGTCTGAGAGCGACATTACAGACTTCAGCAGGAGTTCACTTTCACAGCGTTTCAGCAGCAGGAATCTAGAAGAACAAAGAAAAGCTGCAGACATTCCAGACGAGCTGTAATGACAGATTCCTTCATGTTTTCTTCTTTTCATTTTCCTGAACTGATGAGGAACAGCAGAGCAGACGCCCAGAGAAGCTCAGACACAACAAACCACCTTAAAGCCTTTTAAGGGTAGAAACTGCATCACTTTCAGCTTGATGCAAATATTCAGATGTTTGTTCTCTTTGCTGATCTACGTTTGTCTTTCAATTCAATGCACTTTATTTCTAAAGCTGCTGTACGTTTTTTTTTTTTTTTTTTTTTTGCTCCCAGCTGCAGCTCACATTGTACGATGAAACTGCAGGGTTTAAAAGTTCACAGCTCACGATGTATGTTTCCAAACTGTGCGGC